AATAAAATGTTGTTTTGAGAAATTGTTACATAAATGACTTCATATCACAACAAAATATAATTATTAGTCAAATTCTGGGCGAATAGAAAATTATGTCATGAGAGAGAGAAATCAATAATTAGTTGCGCTTAATTTATTTAATAAATCCAATACTCACTTAATGGTATTGATATCAAAATTAAACAAATCCTGTATTACAACACCTATGCTATACATATCGGCCTTTTGGTTGTATTTGCGGCTATTTTTCACCTCCGGAGCCATATATCGATCAGCGCCGGCCCCACGAGTGTGTGTATGAGAATCGTGCAAATGCTCGACAGCGAGTCCGAAGTCACCCATCCGTACGAACCGGCGGTCGGTGTCGTAGCGGATCAGTATATTATCGGGTTTAATATCGCGGTGAATGACACCCGCGCCGTGCAGTCGCCCCAACGCGTCCGCTATTTCGGCTAACAGTTCGGCGCCGATATAGTGGCCGAGCGGTGGCAGGAATTCGCGACAATTCATCATTTCAAAGTACTCGAGCACTTGAATCAACACACGTTTTAATGAATACCAACACAAATCCATTTGAATGTGAAGAATGGCGAAGTGTTTTCTGTTCAACTGTTCCGCGTATTGTTTGCGGACCCAACTGTCCGTCTGTTCCAAGTACTGGACGAACCGCTTTCTGGCCTCAGCGCTGGTCTCGAGCCACGCGCTCCTATACTGAACGCATGTCGTGTCCTGTACTTTAGCCCAAACCCGGATTTCTCTAATCCCGCGGTTAAACTCTTCGCGCACCGCATCAGCGCTGTCCTCGTTTTCATCTGAAATATTGTTTTATAAATTAATGACATTTACTTATAATTATAAATTAAATCCTAATAGTTTTGGTAAATCCTAACAATACTTCTTTAAGTCACTGCCCCCTCCCCTCCTCGGACTCACTCTTTCTTGATATAAGTATAGCACCTAATGCTAAGCCTATGGCCAGGAATTCACGAGTTTTTATTTTATTACACAATATTCTGTTTGCAATGTATAGTAAATGAACAAAATACTTCATTTCACAATTCAATTCGCAAATCAATTTACAATTGCAATCAATGCAAAGACACTTACGGAAGATATAAATGAGTTTAATAGCGTATTGTTTGTAATCAATTTTGTGACGGCCTTCGAGAACGACACCAAAACTTCCGGCGCCTAAATAGCGGTCAATTCTGAACTCATTGGCCAAACGCTTCTCATTAGTGAACGGCTCGATCTCCAGCGTCTCCTCAACCACTTTCTCTCTTCTAGTCTTCGACATAACCGGTCTCTCATCGCCGGCGCTCTCCTCTTGTCGATCAGTCATCTGAACCACTGTATCAGTAGTGGTGACACAAATTGATGTACGATTTAAGACAATTCAACGCTCACTTTGTTTAGATATTCAATGATTGAAATAGCGTTGAATGCGATTACAGATGTCATGTAGTCATTGTAGTGAAGAGATAACACGTCTTATAAAATGAAAGTCTATTGTTTTCAAAGATTTACAAAAACTTTCGCAACACATAAGTTAGATATGATCGCTAAGAGTAACTCATTTATATAATCGCTATTACTTTTAATCAGATTTACAGATAATGTGCGTTGAAATGCAATATTTGGTTAAGAATTCAATGAAATACATGTTAATTAATGTTGTTTCAAACAATACAGATATACAATGTATTAAAATTTACTTACAGAATGCAATTTAATAATATAATCCAATATACGTTTAGTAGGCATATATTACTAACGTTAATACTTTTTAGAATAGTTTGAAATCAACAAATCAAATTCAAATGCTTCTAAATTTTATTTCTCATTTCTCAAAATAGTATAAATCAGTCAAATGTATAACAATTATAAATTGTTAACAAAAAAAATAATTATTTTATATTATAATCAAATGTTGTTTTGAGAAATTGTTACATAAATGACTTCATATCACAACAAAATATAATTATTAGTCAAATTCTGGGCGAATAGAAAATTATGTCATGAGAGCGATGAGCCTTGGCTTACGCTTACGGCCCAACTCTTTGGCCACGAAGTCATTCAACTGGGAATGTATGCGACTGTCAATAGTGTTGTCATCGGTCTCAGTGGCGGTGTTGTCAACAGTCGACTGAACGCTTTGATTGATGGCCGTCGATGGGTCATCACTGGGCTCTGAGGGCGCCTTCCTTTGTTCACTGTTGTTCGCTTCATATACGGGCCAATCAATAACTGATTCGACCCTAAGCTCAATCAAATCCATAGAACTTTTCCTATCGTTCGTAACAGAGGTCGGCGCCGACGACGAAGAGTCGTCCAACAAGTTTATTAGATCGCGTCGCTCGCCATCACAGCCCGTATGGCCGCCCGGAACCAGATCTGGAAGCGGGAGATTGAGATTATCGGGTACATCGCTGTCCAACAAATCATCAGTAGTATCGCCGCCAACGGCACCGATCGCTCTGTTCGAGGGAGGCGTCACTACTGGTCGCGGAAGAATCTTATAAGCGGGTGGTTTGACAACGAGCGGCCGTTTAGCAAAATTCATGTCCAAACCAATAGTCAACGTTTTATCGGACTTCCCTTTGCGCACGACATGGAAGAAGTCGAAAAACTTAGCGAATAGTTCCGAAAAGTTGCAACACTTGAAGAAAGTTGGCTGCGGAAGAGGTTCTCCAAACTGTTTCATGAACTCCCGGTCCAACTCTTCAACAGTGAATCTGCGTTTACGCGCCGATTGAATGCATTGTATGCATCGTCGGGCCAATAGGAAGAGATCGCTCAGTCGTACCGATCGCTGGTCGTCCACCACAACGAATACGTCCCGATAGTCGTCGGCAGTGAATATATGTCGGGATAGATAGTCGCCAAACTCGGAGAGGTATCGGGACTCGAGTTGATTGCAATTCAATTCGCCGCTAAACTCTTCCATCAGTAGTCGAACGGCGCGTTTGGCCACAAGTCGGATGTGATTTTTGTCCATTAAAGTGATTTGTGTGCCATTACTTTGAGTGGTCACTATTCGGAACTTATTGGCCGACATTTTGTCGACAAAATCGATCAGATCTACGGAACCGAATTCGAAGTAATCGATTTCAGAGTTGTATTTTTGGCGATAAATCTGCTCAAAGTCGTCGATTCGGAGCGAACGGGTGCTCTGGTGTCGAAGTATTGTTTCAAAGCGAGAGATCAAAGCGTAGACGCGAGTGTCGCGACTGAGACGGATCTGTTTCTCACCGCAGAGCTCGTCCTCGCTATTGGCGATAATCTCTATGACGTGCGGCGACAACTCCTCCAAGAGTTCGATGAGTTTATTAAAGCCATAGTCGATAACACGACACTGACGGTTGAAATACCGGTGATAACACGGTATGAACAGCGAGAACGTCATCTGAAAGTTGACCACTTCGCGGGAGTAGCGCAACAGTTCCACCACTTCGCGACTAAACGCCACCGTCCGGCGCATGTGTTCGTCTGATCGGTCCCTTTTGGGCAATTCAATCAACCGGTCGTTCGAGCCGTACGTCGATATGTTAACTGTTCCCTCGTAGAGGTCGCGAAGAATGTCGTCGAGAAGGCACACCCCGTAGTCGCTCACGTCGAAGGGGCGGCCAAACACGTGATGATAAGCGGCGGGAAAATCAGACAATTTTAGACGCGAGTGGT